GTGTATGCACACGCCTGTGTGTAGGTGGAGTGAAATCAAGCCTTTTTTGCCCCTTTCATTCACCAACGTATACAGCAACAACTACAAGCCTGATGCTGAGATGCCAAAAAAAAATATAACTCTTAACCCTGCAAGAAGTAGCAGATATATGTTAAATACTGACATATTCATGAAACTTCAGGATAAACGCACCAAGCTCAGTCTCACCAGCAGGGCCAGCCTCATCTGGAAATAGCAGCATTCACCTGCATACCTCCAGAGCAAACCCTGAATGTGCTACAGTCAACAGAAGTCCCTTATCTTCATCAGTACAGGAGTAGAATCCAAGAAGGGCCTTTTTCATCTGTACAAGTTTAAAATCCATGGGGACTGGCTTAGAAACACCCCAACCTACTGCACATTTGGACTCTCCTCAGACCATAAGCCAAAAATGTAGTCAAGCTGCCATCCAGCTGTGCTGAAGACAGCCCAGCCCCACACAGGAGAGATTTGTAGTGCTGTTTCAACAATCTTCTCCAGAAGTACACATGTTCCTCCAGTAGGGAAGGGGGGAGGAAACAGATTAGAAGAACTTTTTTCTATCTCCAGTTAGGCAACATGGTTTTTCTGTAACAGCTACAGGTAAATTTCAGCCTGGAGTATTTGATTTTATGAGGAAATGGATTCTCCCTGCAACTCCTTTACAAGAAAAGCACAAGCACCTCCCAAAGATGTTTCAGTTAAGACTGCTTAATGCTTATTTCACCACTGCTTATATTATTTTGTTATACTCGTTAGTACAAAGCAGATCATTTGGAATCAGCAAGCATAAGAATTACGTCACACAAGGAAGCTGCAGACACAGAAACCACTTATAGACTGGACAGAATGCCTAACAGCAAGAGATTTGAAGAACTCAGACAGCACAGGCAAAAAGAAAAGATAAAAAAATGAAAAAAATAGAGTCATTTGACTGTAGCATAGGAGAACTTTTGAAGGATAGAATGTAGCAAGCACGAAGGACACATTCATCCAGGAAATAGAAAAGCTAAGGAGAACTATGCTTCAAGAAGGTACATTGATTGAGCTTTTTGAATCTGCAGGTGAGCTGTCCTTGTTTTTAGAGGAACAATGGCAGTAAATACTCCAGCAGATGAATTCCCTGTTTCCCTAAGAAATCCAGAAGCTTCCCAAAGGGATACCAGAGCCACAACCAGCGATGAGGAAGCTCAGGCTGGCAGGTTGGCCTCTAATATGTAGTCACTGTGCACTCTTTTAGGTAGGATAAATCAGCCTGTCTTAAGTTTCCTGCTGCCCAGGGCATGCTCCTACCACTTCCAGAGACAGCCAGTCTAAAACCTGTTGGCGTAACTCCACAGTGTGTTCCTTTGCAGAGCTGCAGTTCGTGTACCTTTAGAAACAGCAACATCTACAAGGCAGCTGCTGAACTTTTGAAATCCAGGCAGTCAACCTTATAGAAAGGGGGTTGTATGGAGCAGCAGAGCAATTCTTGTTATTCTGCTGACAGCAGTGGACTTCTGCCACTCTCTGACCAGTCCAGCTTGTATTTGAGCAGTTAAAGTATATTTAGAATTTGAGTCTCATCATGAAAAATGAGTTCCCACCGCTCCAGAGCGCTGAACTCCACATAAATATCTCCTGTCTTTTGGGTAGCGATTTCCCCTGTGCAACCATCTTGCACTGAACATACAAGGAAGACACCCAACACATCAATATTTTGGGCCTTCGCCAAGGTTACAGAAAAGCAAAGCCTCATAAGAGACTGAGCAGAGCTGCGATGAGTAGAAGGGTGTAAAATCGCTACGCCCATTTGTTGCAAGGGAAACAAACTGGTTTTTCGTGAGGCCTCATTACAAAGTGCTTCTGAAATGTCAGACCTCACCTTCCTAATAGCAGGTAGCAGAACAGAATCATGTATACTTGACTGTTTAGGGCTAGAATAAAATAAACTTACCAGGAAACCACCCATAGTCATGAAAACATATCTACACAGGAGCTCAGGAACTCTCAGAATTAAGATAATACTGTCTTGTCAGTAAACATTGGGCAAAAGAGCCAGCCTGATGGTACTGCTAAGACAGTAAAACAATACATGCAATCTGCTAGCAGAAACACCCTCAAACATGCTCTGTTGCAAGCAGGGAGATGCCTATTTATTTCTCATTGCCAGCTCAGCAAGCTGCCCCCAGGCTCTAAGGCAAACAAGTAGCTTTCCTTCTCCAATAATAAGGGCCAAGTTGCACCATCACATACATCTGTGGAGCTGGCACTTCCAAAGAGTTTGCACAAGCGTTAACGAAACTTGGTAAACAATTCTCTCCAGGAGCAGAGTACAGCCCATCCATGTCATGTTTGGCTTTATAGGGCTAAAAGCTGTGGAAACTCACAGCTCTGAGATAACTACCACCAGCAGATCCCAACAATATATGCAAGGTTTATAGAATCAAAAGGAGCCACTTCCACAGTTCCACAAAAGGGTTAATTTGAGCACTGTGATGGATGGTAGGTCCCTGTACACTTAAGACACTGAAGATAGCGAGCAACTGTATGCCTGCATGATGTAAACACTGTTCTCCACCTAAAACCTCCTACATATCCACCTCAAGCTTGACACAAATTTGCCTCAATGCTCTCTTGACATACAAGATGGCTTCTGCCCTTTTTCACCAATTATTCCCCTTACTTTTTCTGAATAATTACAACCAAGCCATTATTTTTCCTTTCTGACACCAAGGTGTATATGGACAAGACCTCCTCTGCACTCTGAGGGCAAGACTGAAAGGCATTTCTAAGACTGAAACACACCTACAGTGCATACGTTCCTTCCACAATCTCTCTATAAGGGAAGTGGGGTTTTTAGTTACTTCAACTCCATTTAGAGAAAGCCATTGTCTTCCTCTCCCTCTTCTTTTTCTTTAGGGAAAGAAACTGAAGATCTCATTCATCTCTTCCATTGTCTGTCAAACCAAAAACTATCTCAGGTCAGCAAAATTTAGAGCTGCAGCAAAAGCCAGGAAAGCAAAGTGAAAGAGATTCCAAGTCTGACAAGGGTGCCCTAGGAAAGCCTTTGAAGTTCCCAGCAGCTCCTGTTGAACATTATTAAGAAGAGGGGCAGATGTGACCCTAGATATTTGGAATGAAATTTTGTCAACAGCAATTTTTGCTTTGTAGCTTCCTGCTTGCTTGCGTGCTTGCACAAGACACATGTAAGACACTAGTTGCAAAGAGAAGTCATGCAAAAAATTACAAGCAGGAGAATGCAGATCTGTAAAGATCTCATTTGTTTGCATGGAATACATAAGACAGGACTCACATGAGTGCTTACTGGGTTAAGAAGCAGAGTTGAAAGGAGGCGGCTTGATCAGGGATAGCAAGAAGCTACGGATAAAGCAAGGTTCCTCTTCTGTTGTGGCCAGGGCTATAGGCATGGTGATGTCAAGTTCCACCACAGCAACAATGTGTGTTTACTTCTGTTTTGCAGAACAGAAGCTAGTCAGCTTCTCAGAAGAAGTGCTAGAAGCTGACCTAATTACATAGGGAATACCAAGTCAAACCAACTTCAGCATGATGCAATGCTTCTTTCCATGCCCAGCTCTGGGAAACTGCTTAACTCTATACGAGCAAAAATCTAGCTTACTCTTGCTGTATTAACTAGACACATGTGAGAATATACCATCTGCAGCTTTTTGTCCAGCAGACCTGAACTTCCAGTGCCTCTTGTTTCTAAAGCACCTTCTGGATTTACTTTCAGAATGCACAGGGAGATGAGTAACAGGTGTTTCATCCAAGGCCTGAGAGACAGCACTTTTTAGAACGTTAGAAGCTGTTGAGCAGCTCTAGCTGGGAAACGCCATCTAGAGGCCAAACTGCGCTTACCAGTTTATTTTTGAGAAGTAGTTCATGCCCCCTCCCCTTTAGCACAACTCTATTCTTTCACCTCTTCTGGGTGAGCATAGTTATCCCTACCCCACAGTGAAGACCTAAGGTTCCGTGCTGTGCCGCATAACAACTCCAAACAGCAGCACATCCATCGCCTCTGTGCCAGCTCTGCCCTCAAGGCTTTTTGTACTTACCAGTTTGAAACCATCAGCTACTTCTACTGCATGTGGCAGAGGTACAACTGAACTGCTCATTTTCCCAAGGCCACTCTTCCAGTAGTGATTTTTCCAGTAGTGATTTAAAAGCTCAACATCAGCTGAGTGCATTACTAAACCTGGAAACAGGCCCAGCTTCAGACAGAGGAACATGAACAAACAAACTTCAGCCCTCACCAGTCCTTTAAGGTGAGATGCCTGGTGTTTTATAAAGCCTGAGAATAAAGCCATGACTCTCAGCTAGGTGTGGTTTCAACATTGTCTTTTTATATGGCATAAACTGCGTAGATATGGATGGGGCACCCATAGCCTGTTACATCACTAAAACAGTGAGGAAAGAAAGGGTCTTTACATTAACAGCAAATTTGTGGCAGGACACTGATGTATCACATGGGGGCTAACTTAACCCAGATATTTAAAAGCAGCATGTCTCCTAATGAATGTGAAGGTGGGATGATATAAGCAGATTCAATTGTCCTCTTTTAGTTGGCATTGTTGGGTTGGGAGGGGGGTGGCGAGAGAAACTCTGCTCCAGAATTACATCCTAGAATTCAAGCTTTAAATATTTAACCCTATGTTCTGTGAAAAAAAAATAGACAATGTGTTTGACCAGGGCAAACATGAGTTGTGTGAAGTGATCAAAGCAACTGGATATTTACTTCAAGATCAAATAAGAAAAACATCAGTAAAACTAGCCATAAGATAACCAAAAGCTTAAAAAAACCCACTAATTTCTATGGGACTCTGGCAGCATACTGAGCTCTCAGATGAGGTCAAGGCTCACTGAGCTAAGCACAATTATGAATATACAGTGAGACACTTCCCACAGTTCTGAGATTTGGGAAGTTCCAACCCTAACATAAGCTCTTCATTTACAAAAAAAAAAAGCTACCAAAGCACTTAACAAGATTGTGGAGTAAACTAAACTTAATATAAGTGGTAAACTAAACAGTTCAGTGAACCTAGTATTATAATCATTTTCTTATGGAAAAATTTCCCATGTTCTGAAGAGTCGATGCAACACAATATCCATTACCAACAATAATGTGGCAGACAAGATGAGAGCCTTGTGCAATAGATTTTCCAATCAATATAAATTTTCTTATGGAAGCAAGTAAACTATGGTAAAATGTGCTGACAATGGCCACAGCAAAGATTTCTTCCCCCCCACAAAGGGAATAATTCAAACTGTGTTGAGATGCTCAGAATAGGATCTGCCCTTTCAAAGATGGAACACAATGTTAGGAATTTCTCTTATTTTATTTGTAATCTTTTTGAATAGAACCAAGCTCCAGTAGAAGTAAAGGCTCATGCTTCCTTACAAGCAGCCCAATATGCCTTTTCTCAGGGTTTCTACCAATTCCTCAGTAAGAGACCAGATCAACCCATCAATCACAGTGAGATCTAAAAGCAGTCCCAGAATAAAGTCAATCTCAACAGTTTAAAAAGAAAAAATGGTGGCAGAGATCCTTTTTGGTGCAAGTCTCTTTCATCACTCTTGTATTGAAAAAGCCAAACCACGGAGAGGAATCAGTTGTGAAGTACTTCATCAACAGATCTGTAGTTATAAGAGTTGGCTGTTATCACCAGAGCAACAAAACAGAGGACAAGGGTGGAGAAGAAAGATGAAGGAATGCTGATGCATGGGGCTGGGACTGAAGAGGACACGGCGGGGTGTTAATTCATTTTCCTTAGGGTTAGGCAGGTGCTTTGAAACAACAAATCACATCAGAAGAACTGTTAGCACAGCTACTACATGAAGTTTTTTCCAACCCAGAGAAATTTGTTTTGATAACAGTGATGAGGAGGAATGACTCAGGAAAACTCATCTTCACAGAATTAGTGGAATTTGCTTCATTCAGTGCTCACGTTAAGATATCAGAACAATTAAGAAAATCAAGTAGAAATGAAATCCATCCAGGACTTCTCAGGCCTTAGTGCGGCGTAGGTGGGGGTAACTCCGGAGAGTCCTGTCTATTGCTTCATCCAAGCTTACCACTGGCTTGTAGCCCATGTCCCTCTTGGCCCGTTCGCAGCTATAGTAGTGAAATGTTCCAGCTAATGCTACCCGCATGGGGGTAAAAGTGGGCTTGATGGTCACCAGTGGACTTAACAGCCACAGCACTAGAGACAAGAACATGGCCAGGTAATATGCCAGCCAGTAAGGAATATAGTACTTGGGTGCATCGTAGTTCAAGCCAGTCAAGATACGGGACATGAAAGCCCAGAAAGGGATTGGCTCATCATTTGTGATATGAAATGCCTGAAAGACAAGACAAAGAGTCAGATAAAAAATGGTTTGTACAAATGGCCCAGCTCACATTCACACCCAGAAGGCTGGCATCTCTCACTCAACTCTAAACATGTTTTTCACTAAAAACTACTTTTCACCAGCCACCTCCAGCTGAAAAGCACTGAATCCCTTCTTTGCTATAAGTCAGCTACTTCTGACATTCCAGAGGTTAGGATACTCACAAATGGTCAAACTGAAATGACAACAAATGCAAACACATTAAAGCTCGCCCAGAACACAACAGGGCTATGAAAATGTTAATGTTTCTGTTACTCTGTACTCTACTACACAAAAGCTAAGTAACTATGTTTCTTACACAGGCATTTTCCTTACCTTCCCACACACAGGAGAGTCTTTCCGAAGGTGTTCTGCAGCCAGAATATGTCCATGGACCACGTTTTCCACATAGGTAAAATCTACTAAGTTCTTCCCATCCCTGAACAAATTAAAGGAAGAGGTTGGCCCACGGGTGATCCAGGCTGAAAATTCTACTCCTAGCAAAAGGACTTTCACACAACCTATATATTTCATAGAATGGCTTGGGTGATCCTTGACATCCCTTCAAACCAAGCTCCAACACCCCTGCTGCAGAGTTGTCAACTGCTAGATCAAAAGTACTAGATCAGGCTGCCCAGAGCCCCATCCAAACTAACTCCAGGGATGGGGCTTTCACAACCTCTGATCAACCTGTTCCAGCACCTCAGCACTCAGTGAAAAACTTCCTGACATCTAAACTAAATCTTCTCTCCTTTAGTTGAAAACCATTCTCCCTTGTCCTATCACTATCTACATGTGTATAAAGTTAATTTCTCTTTGAACACTAGAAGGCCAATCTGACTCCTCCGTGTTGCGTCACAACTTCAGGCCCTCTGATACAAAATGCACTTCATTTTGAGGCAGAGGAAAAGAAACCACTTCAGCTCTTGTTAAGAGCCCCAGAAAGTTTATATTCCATAACAATACCCTATTTAAGCCTGCTGCAGATTCTACAGATCCCAGAATCAGCACAGTGATCCACAAAAGCAGAACAGTGGTAAGTAGCACACAGAAAGTCACTTGAGGACAAGCTTTCAATTATGAATTTCTTGGCTCATGAAATTTTAACTTAGTAAGCCAAATTCAGTTCAAAACAGTTGAAAGAATTTTAACCAGATGCATTAAATCCACTTCTACACAGCTACAAAAAATAGCTGTGCATACCACTTTCAAGAACCCAGCTAAATCAAACAAATGGTTTGTTGCAAAACCATCACCACACTCATTTGGACAAAAACAACATTGCTGCAATCCAACATTCTGAGAATTAATACTTTTCATTTTCAACTTTCATGGATGAATGGCTATTTGCTTTCTTGGAAGGGATATGCAGGTCTTTATAGCAGTAGGGAAATTCAAGTGAGAAAAGCATGTTTGAGCTGGAAGAAAGTGGAGACAAAGCAGAAAGGTCAAGTTTATTTAGGTTTGCCATTCACAGATCAATTTGGGAGATTAGTCTAGAAGTGAACTATAAGGAAGAAGAACAGAAAAACAGCCCCATTCGCTTTCCCTTATCCTAAGCACATTCATTCACATGGGTATGTACACAGAACAGCTTCCTGCATGCAATAAAAATCTATTATAAATTAAAGAGCACATTTCTTTTCAAGATTGTAATACAAATTAAAAAAACTCCTTAGGAGCAGCATGAACTATTTCTTGTTCTAAGATTTCAGTGGTCCACTGGAAGCTGTACAAGGCTTAACAGCAAGGCAAGCATCTAATATTCATGACATTAAGATCAAAGAATGCTGTCATACACACAAGATCCTCAAACGCCAGCATATATTTGTTAAGAGAAAGCAATTTGAGTACTCTGATTAAAAAGAAAAGCCTTTAGACTGCAAAGAAAGTGCAAATTATGTTTGCTTTTCCCACTGATACACTTCTTGCAAGAACTCTTCCTTATCTGAGTGCATGAGTCCCTAGCACAAGAGGGCTATGAAAGAAGAATCCTGGATCACAGGTGAAAAGTTACAGAGACTTACATTTTTCCCCCCAGAAATATGTTGCAGTTGCCAAAAGAGAGATTGCCAGTGCAGAAAGTTAAATCCTGCCTTCTCTGACATTGTACACTTTAGGACAAGGGTCCTGACTTATGTATCATCATGAATTATCCTATTTTTATATCAGAAGATCATTCCATGCAATAACACTGCTTCTGACTTAGTACTATCCCCTTCCAAAACAGTTTAATAGAAGCTAAAAAGTGATTAAGCCTTGCTCACCCAATTATGAACTTCATTTTGCCACTCTTAGCTGCTTGGATGAGGATAGGAACCAGCTGAGGGTCTCTAGGGCCAAATATTCCATGTGGGCGAACAGCAGTAGTGAAGAAGTTGTTGTCTGGGTCATTTGCACTCAGCACTTCCTGTAAGGAAAGAAAAGTTAGGAAAAATACAGCTTAGTAATATAACCCAACAGCAACATTAGAGCAGATCACTCATCATCTTGAGAAGAATTACTATCCATCCATACCTTTACATATGATCCTTCCTCTTTTTTCATCTCCTTCTCTTTAACGAGAAAGAGAAATCCTTTTTCATTACTGAACAATTAATGAATTGACAGGCAAAGGGAAGGAACTCTCATTCAACCCCATGAAGTCCAGAGAAATTTTCCAGATGTTAGAAAAGGGCACTGAACAATCTAATTTTTCTTGTTGTTAATGGAAAACTTTTATCATAGGCCTTGTTGATGGCAGTTAGGAGTGTGATCCTTTTTTCCTGAGAGCACCAAGTGCTACATAGATTTAATTTTACTTGGAGTTTCCAAACAAAGTGTTCTGCTGATTTTCTACAGCTGTTCAGGAACACCACAAGCAGATAAATACTGAATTCTTTTACCCATTCACCCAAAATAAAGACATAATTAGAAGAATATTGGGCTAGCTCTGTTACTCACAAGCTTCCACATCATTAGTCCACTTCACAGCAAAGTGATTATGCTTGTGAATGAACAGATGTTTTTACACTGTTTTTAACTAAGCTTTCTTCAAATAACATAGAAAAATTCTTAAAGGCTAACACTCAACATAAGAGGACTACTTCTAAAAGGGCACTTTTTAGAATGGAAAATAGTGTTAACCAGCTGGCGATGAATACCTTCTCCTGTAGGATCTTTGTCTCCGTGTAATAGTCAATAGGTTTTTTTGCATAAGGGAGGTCTTCTGTTCCATTTTTTATGTCCGTCCCCTCAAAAACAACACTGGCACTGCTAGTCAACACTAGTTTCTGCAATGCATGTGAAAGAAAACTGCAGTTTAAAGCTTAAGACAAAAGAGTAATTTATGAAAGTTGAGCAAGGACAATAATCAAATTTATCTATGGAGAATAAACTATGTCTAGAACAACAGAGGCTAACAGAAAATGATCTAAAACCAGGTAAGAAAACTCTTCATTTGCTTAGTGGGACTCCATAACATCATTTACTGCTTCCTGAAGAAAGTGAAAATATTTCATGCCTCCAGAGTAACCAGTCAGTGGGAAAATATCTCTCAAAAAAATCACAGCATCTACTTGGCTGGGCATATTTCAGTATTTAACAAGCAATGAGTTTAGCATTTAACATGCAGTGAATGTTTTTAAGATATATTTGCTCATCTTCAAGATAACAATCTCATGCCAGATTACAACAAAAAAAAAGAATTATTATCCAGGATGTTTTTGTTGGCTAAAAATGGGCCCTCAGTTTCCAAACAGAAATCCAGTGATACATTTGGATAATCAGAAACATATGGCTTTAAGATCTACATTTTAATAGAAAGATAACTAGATCCAACAAGTTCCAACAGGACTCCTTGCTCTGACAGAATTTAGACTAAGCCAGAGGGTAAACACTGCATGGTCCATTCCCTACAACAGCTTACAACTTAAAGAGGGGGAACAAAACTTAAAAAAAAAAAAAAGCAAAACCACTGTGGGCTAGGAGTCCTATATATTATTTAATATTATTTAATTCTAAACATTATTAGGTCTGTATTTGTGAATGGACAACGTACAAAACATTTTGGATGTAGCATCTACACCCAGAGTAAAGGATCTTCTCAGACACTGAGCTTGACAACGTGGTACGAGTTTGACTAAAAACTTGTGATATCATAACATACCAAGATAAAAAGTTTGCCTTGAGCAGCCTGGTTTCTTCTTTAATTTGTGGGTAAATGACTTTCTAAATCAATTTATACTAAGACTGTACCACAAACACGCTCCTTTTCATTAGGTGAAAATGAATTCACATAAGTAATAGATGCCATGAATAATTCCACCACAGGAAAAGCTACCTTTAGAGCTGTCCCCCTCATTAAGGCATGAAAGAATTCACTTGCCAGTTCTCCCTTAAGGGATTCCCCAAATGTCTGATAAAACAAATTTTAATGGATACTCTTCCTACAGTAAGGGAAATTGCAATGTTTCTGGGACAAATACAGACTGAGCTTATATTAGATGCTAAGGACAGAGTCTTGCTTTCCTACAATTAACTTCCACAAAACAAGTAGGAATTCAATATATAATTCAATATATCAGAGTGCTTTGTCCTTCTACCAAACCAGACTGAAATTGTTCTATGGTTCAGAAGTCACAAATTCACATGAACAACTTACACACTTCACAAACTTTTCTACCCTTACCTGCACTCCAGCTTCTTTGCAGGCTTCAATGACTGCTTTGGTTCCCATAAAATTCACCTTATAAAATAACTCTCTGTTGTCACTTGAAGGTGCTGGCGATGCACAATGAAATGCTACTGAAACATCTTGTAAAGCTGGGAGTAAGGCCTAAGAAGAAAATACATTGCTCAAGATAGCAATGGAACAACAGCAACAGTGACTACTCAGGAAAAAAAAAAACAGTTTTTTTCTCATGAAAATAAAACTGCTAAATTTCAAGTCAAGTTCCTTCCATAATGGCAAGCAGCTGAAATAGAATTAGCCTTACTGGTCTTCACAGTATCTTTCTTGTAAAGCAAAAAAAAAAAAAGTACTACACTGTCTTTTCTTTCCAGACAAGAGCTTGGGAACCTTCTGAGACCTGGAGGCTATCAAAGCTTAACCACATACAACAACCTCAAGTGCAGGCATGAGACTCAAAACTACTAGGGGAGAGGAGTTGAAAAATCTGCATGCAATACATTTAACAGCCAACAGTACCCCATGGCACTGTCTGTCTTGGAGGTGATTGCCTTACAGTCTGAGACATGATACTTCATGCTGGTGCAGAGACCTCTCTCCACATTGCATACAAATGTTTATGCCAGGGCTCACATGCATGACTTCAGGCAAAGCATCTATTGCATCTTAACTGTGTGGAATAATGCATTCTGCCATTCTCTTGCAGTGAAGGTTAGCAAGGAGAGTACCTACATGCAATTACTAATAGTGGCAGTAATTAGGCTGTCTATCTGAGCTAACAGTAATGCAAACTGTAATCCAGAAACAAGTTCTGTTCCTTTCCACTTTAAATATACTCAATGTCTGCTTAAGTGTTCTAGATGAGACTACTGGCTTCACCAGAAAACACTGGAGGTGCACACATGTACTTTTTCAGATGCCTTCAGGCCACTTAATGTTTCAAATAAGGCTTGCTTGTCTGTTTATAAGGACAAGAGTGTAGACAGCATCCTTCCCATCTACACAATTTTCAGTTGTCTGTACCTCTTTGCTGCAAAGGTCTCCCAGGAAAAACTGCACTCTGTCATTGTCAAATCTCTTCTGAATATCAAACACACTGACTGAGTAACCCTTGTCCAGCAGCTTTTCTACCATGTGCTGGCCTAAGAATCCAGAGCCACCGATCACTGTACATTTCTTATTGGCCTGCAAAGACAGGAAGAAAAAAAAGCATTACAGCAAGCAGATGTACATCAGCAGCACCCTAATGTAAAGCACACAGAACTCACTTCAGCCACACAACACAGGTAACAAAACAGTAACATCACAGCTAGGAAGGACATAAGCCATTTTAAAAGCACAAGGAACTTAGGAACTCCAAGCCAAGAAAGCAATCAGGTAAATGCAAAGCTTATCCTCCTCATTTAGTCATTAGTTCATTTATTTTAAATGCTTTTAATTCAATGGCTGAAGTCACTAATTAATAGATTCTGGTCTGGTCACTGGAATGACTCTGCTGACTTCACCACCACCACCAAACATTTAGGCAATAGTTGAGGAAGTTTTTGTGCAAAGACAGTTCTGTTTTTGTTGGAAATAGATTTGCTCCTGTCTGTTGTTACATGAAGACCTACCTTGGTAGTTTTTCTGAAAGAAATTTTAACAGTGAAACCACACAAAGACAACAGTTACTTGGAAGTTTCCAAGTACTACACTGTTCAACAAAGATCCAACTGCAAAAGTGTCAGTTATCCACAACAGACATAAGAGAAGCTCAGTGAAACTGAGCAACTAAGACATAACCAGCTACTTGGAACCGTGCATGCAAAGCAGAGACTGCTTAAAAGCATTAAAAAAAATAAGCTCCATTGGGTTGGACCAACTGTGCATCTGGTACTGGACTCTGGTTTTGATGACTGCAGGAGAAGAGATAATCTAGGAAGCCTAATTGAGTCAAGGACTTTCACGGAGTCCCAGCTCCTTGCATTGCCCCACTACATGTCTGCATTTGCTTTGCTCATCCACCTCTTGATTTCATGAACTCAGTTATACCCTTCCCCTCTGCAGCCCCCTCTGCCTGTTCAGCCTCTCCTCAAAAGGCACTTGCTTCTTTTCATCAAGTCGTTAGCTTGCCCTTTCTTGTATCTCTTCTAATTCCAGCATGTTCTTTGTGAAATCAAAACACCAGAACTGCACACAGCACTCAAAGTTTTAAACAGTGGCAGAACGACGCCCTCTGTCTGGCTAAGCAGCAGCATCAGTTTTCTCCCACCACAGTTGATGGATTCCAAGCTTTTCTATATGAATGCTTCCCCATTTGCCCAAGCAGAACAAGATTCTTATTGATGAGATTTATTTAAATTAACTTTAGAGCATATGTATAAACTGTAATACATGCAACTCTCAGGAAAGGGGTAAGAGAACCAACTCAGTTACCAGAATCAGTGTAACTGCAGCTCACAGTGCTGCTCCTGAACTCTTTGGCCCTTTTAGAAAAGGGTAACAGAAATTCAGACTACACATGAGCTCATTTCCTAAGGTAATATCTAATTAACATTGCATTACAAAGATACAACAAGCTGTTCATGCACTCTAATATACAATGCTACAGTGATTTTTTTTTGTTTGGTGTGTTTCTGTTTGTTTCCTAAATATTTGAGATTCATTGGTTTTACTTGTGTCCCAAAAGAAAAAGTGAGAAAGTGGTCCAGAACGTAGAAATCTTCCTATAAGCAAGAAACACAAGTTAACATAACAGAACAGCTTATCAAACTGTAATTCTGATGTAGCACCCAAACAGCCCTCTAAGGGAAGCAAAATGTTATTCCTTGTATATTAAAACCTCCTGCGGTCAGTGTAATAATGGCAGAATGAGACTACAATAGTCTGGTTGATCTCAGAGACCTCATCCAGGCCTTTACATGCATGAGAACACAGGATAGCGTTAAGGTACATTAGAATAATCCTGATGTAACAAGATCTCCATTCCAATTGATTTGGCAGCACTGACAAAGTCCCTGAGGTTTTTAGGGGGTTGAAGTATCACTTGAGTCTCTCTGAAAAGTAATGGCAGCAAATACATCCCTTAAATGGAGTAAATCACTTCTCCACCAGCAATAGCTTTGGAGCAGGCCTTAATGCAGAAGCAGCCTCATTTCACCTGGTTACAGAAGACTTATCTATGAAAACAGCTTCCTATCAGACAAATCTTCACACAGCAAGGTAGAAGTCCTCAACTTACCGATCTGAAGCGTGCAGCCATTTCTCAGATGTTTTAGTATTAACCTAATTCCTTTAAAAAAAAGGGAAAATAATTATATTTTATTCACAATATAACAGCCACCTTACGCATGTCATTAACACAAGCACAACTTTTTAAAAACAAATTTCTAGTTAACAGAATTGAAGCAAAGCCATTACACTAAAGCAAAAATATTAAAAAGTGAACTGTCTCCAGGTCCTGTTGAACTAGACAAGTAACACAAGGCTAACACTGACATCAAACAGCTTTCTCAAAGGCATAACTCCAATAAAATCAAATACTTGATATCAAAGGCATCCTTTTATTTGGCTAGCATTATGCTTCATGCACTTCCTTTAAACCCAAACATTTGTACTCCAAAACCACAAACGACTCTTTTTTTGGCAGTTCCCTCTTCAAAAATAGAGTTGCTCGAGGGTGTTTGAATAGCAAAACAGAAATGATGCACCATGCTCACACACCAAGGAACAAATGCCTGCACAGAGAGCTGAGATTTGCCAAGTTCTTACCCTACAGACAGCTGATGGCACCAGTTTCATTAAAACACATCCTTATCCCTGTGATAGCAAACAAAACTCCAATATTGGCAGAGGTCCTACATCATGGGGTGTCATAGAAAAGTAGAAAAGGATAACATATTTATCCAGATCTGCTTCCATCATAGAAGCGAGCTACAAAGATTCCTGACGGTTTTAGTCACTTTTGAAGAAAAAAAATCAGCATGTAATTGCTACTTTAGAGTCTGACCCCATGCTCCTGACTCTCAGCCGGTGGCTCGCACTGCCTCCTACTGCCTGCACACTGAGGTGGATGTTGGGTGCACCAGCTACAAGTTAATCATTTCCCACCTGGGCTGCTCAGCATGCCCTGACCCACCTCACCTGACCAACTCAGGAAGAGCTACAGCAGTGCTGCCATCGCTGTACCACACCTGTGAGCATGGAGCCAGCAGCAAAACAAGCAGCTGTGGCTGCCCCATCCCTAGAGGGGCACAAAGCCAAGTCGGATGGGCCCCGGGCAGCCTGAACTGCTGGCAACCCTGCCCACGGAAAGGGTTTGGAATTCGATGATTAAGGTTCCTTCCAACCCAATCCTACGGTTCATTGAGAACAGCCCTGTTGAATTAGCTCACTTAAGCAGCCACAGAGCTTTCTGGCTTTTTTTGTTCTCTGAAAAGCTCTCCGAAGTGACGAGGAGAACAAGAAAGCAGGACTGGTGCCTGCCCAGCCAGGAACACCACTGGTTGGGAAAAACAGGCACGAGGAGCTCCGACCTCCAGCTGCCCCTCCCCGCCCCTTCCTCAGGGCAGGTCCCGCCGCTCACCGCCACTGAGGAGCCGCTTTCCCCCGTTTCCCTCCAGTTCCTCCAACCCCATCCCAGAGACTCCCCTCAATCTCACCTCCATGTGACCCCACCCTCTCTCCCACCCCTCAGCTGCCCCTTCCACGGCTTTTCCCGCACCTCACACAGCGATTCCTCCTCACCTCACCGCGCCGCCCTCACCCCCCCTCCTCAGCTCCCCTCACACCAATCGTCCGACTCCGCCCCTTCTCCCCTTCTACCAATCAGCGCGCGTTCTTTCGCAAAGCCCCGCCCACCGCGCCAAAGCTCCCCTCATCCCCTCCCTCGAGCCCTGGGCCGAGCATCGCGCCAGGCAGTTACCCCTCGCTGATTGGCCGTTCGCCCTTCTCCCTTCAGCCAACCGCGTGGATGGAATGCAGAGAGGTCCCACTGCCTCTTGGATCCGCCCCGACCACTTGCTGACCAATAGCCAGCTTTCCAGCTTCCAGAGGGAATTCCCGCCTTCGTCTCTCCACCAATCAGAGAGATGGTTACCATAGCAGCGGCGTGGTGGCATCAGCCAATGGGGGAAGGTAGTATTGAGCGCCGGCCTGACAGAACTGGAGCCGCCCCGAGGCAGCGGCCGCCGGGATGGTGAGTGCGGTCCGGCCCGGCGGTGGGAGCGGGCTTCGGGCTCGGTCTGGCTCCGCCCTCCCGGCAACGGGGTTGCGGGGCCGCTCCCGTCAGCCTGCAGCGGCCCTGGGGCGAGCTGAGGGGGCCGCCGTTCAGCGGGCCTTTCCCGCTCTTCCCGGGGCGGTCTGATGCCGTTTGCTCTTGTGTTGCTGTGCCAAGGCCTCCAGCTTCAAGAAACCCTCGCTGGGAGCAGCGTCCCAGAGGAAGAAATCGAGTCCCAAGCCGGAGCTGACTGAAGAGCAGAAGCAGGAGATCCGGGAGGCCTTCGACCTGTTTGACACAGATGGCACCGGGAACATCGATGTTAAGGAGCTAAAGGTGAGGCTTCCTATTGCTGAAAGCACGGCCTGTAAGTGATTTGACACAGGAACAGACCTGCAGATGTTTTTCTGGAGTGAAACTCTTGCTGTCCATAAGCACATTGCCCTCTAGATGTAACTTTTACTACTCTCAGGTGCTCAGAGCATTTGAAACCACACAAAGTGTTCCTGTACATTCATGAAGGCTTTCTCACAAAAATGAAAAAACCTGAAGTTCCCTGTGGTCCACAAGCTTAAGAGCTTCCATCTTTGTGCTGTCAGATTAAAGTCTGCAAGGAGTTCAGTAGAGTAGCAAGTATGACAGAAGCTTCTTGCATGGAGTCACTTATATTAAAGCATGGTTAATTTTTCTTTTTTTTTAAAAAAAAAAAAACCTTCCTTCCAAGACATTTCTAAGTCTTACAGTTGCCACCTTGCTTACACAAGAGCATGAAGTGAGCTTTTTTGAATTATTACTCAGTGTCACATTTCTCATGACAAAGAGAGGGTTAGTAGCAATTCTCTTCACAGGAAAGCAGCTGTATTCTGTTTCCCATCAACACTGGAAATTGCTACAGCACTACATGATAATATTGTTTGGGTTGGTTTTTTTTTTTTGTTTTTTTGTTTTGTTTTTTTTTTGTTTTTTTGTTTTTTTACTTAAAAAAATGAAAACAGGATTCTTTTATTCTGAATCCCCATCAAAGGAATTGAACTGATATGTACCAAAATGGGTATGCTAGGACTTAATCTAGATTTCTTTTGAGAAGTCTTTCCTCCCAAGATTATTTCCATCTCCCTGCCAGTTCTGACAAGAGAGTGTTGCCACAATGGTTAGAATGTGTTTAGGAAACCCTGGAATTAAAGAAAAGGAAGGAGTGACTCTAGACTACAACTGGTTACCTGTTTTCTGCATCCCAGCATGCCCTCGTGCAATGAAAAACACTGCTTTAAGAGAGCTCCTTGAGAACATGATCTATTGTGGTATAGCACAAAGTTTAACTTTGTTTGTCACTAGGAGATATTTTTTCGTGCTTATAATTTTGTATGACTAATAATTTCTTTTGGCCTTACAGGTGGCCATGAGAGCACTAGGGTTTGAACCTAAGAAAGAAGAAATCAAGAAAATGATATCAGATATTGATAAGGAAGGAACAGGAAAAATCAGTTTCAGTGACTTCTTGGCAGTGATGACCCAGAAAATGGTATGTAAGTTTTAGAAGTCAAAGAAGAAGAAATTCTGAGAATGGATGAGGCACTTTCACCTCCTCTTGGTTTTGGTGGAAGATGAGAAAAAGCACAGACAGACCACACACCTCCCCCTTCTCCCTGTCTTAAAGCTTCATCAAATTTTGTTAATATTGTTAAGTAAGTTCTGTCATATTATGGCTTTTTTAAGTGTTCATTTATAGTTCACTCCTAATGTTAAACAAGTTAAATCTTACCTGGTCGTAGGCTAGTTAACTCATTTACTTGATTAGTGAGATTGAAATGTCATTAATAAGATTCTTTAACAATCAGTTTTATGCACATATGACAAGGGAACCAGAACTTTTATCATAGATGAAAGGCAACTCTAGCGTGCAGAACAGCATCAGGAATATTGATACATTACATGGATAAAAGATATTTACAGATGAGATTCTGCTTTTAAAATTTCTAGAGAATATTGGGTAAAAGCAAGTATTTAACAGTGAAGGATCCTGATGCTGAAATCAGGAAGTTATCTAACAAGATATAAAAGAAAAGAACTTGAAGCCCTGAGGTTCAAGCAGCATTACTGTGTTTTTCTACCTTCAGCTTTTGTATGTATGTTTGTGGCAGTCTGTGTATGTTTAAAGTTATGAGACTTTCTTAGTATTTCTAATTCTTGTATGTTATAATTGCAATTTTTATTTTGAGTATTATATGTAGTATAACCAATGCTTTTCTCCTTAAACTTAAGGCTGAAAAAGATTCCAAAGAGGAGATTCTCAAAGCTTTTAAGCTCTTTGATGATGATGAAACTGGCAAAATCTCTTTTAAAAACCTCAAACGTGTAGCCAAAGAACTGGGTGAAAATCTTACAGATGAAGAGCTGCAGGTTTGTATCTGATCTATGCAACCATGTGTTCCCCTTACAAAGAAACAACATTGCTTCTAACAGGTTCTGGGTGATAGTAAGCAAAGTGTTAGCAGGTACACCAATGAGTGTATACAGAAAAAAGAAAAGGGCAAACTTACCCAGCTGTGAAGGGACCCTCTAGCTATGCAGCACTTCTTCTCAGCAAGCAGCCTACATCTAAAAGATGTTCTCTCTTCTGTGGCTGGCTTTTATATGAGCCCAGGGTGGCTCCACTGTGGGTCCACACCTTCTGGTCATGTGTAGAGCACAGGTGTAAACAATTTGCCTGTGCTCCCTGGGCCAGATAAACCCCTTCACCAGGTGCTCAATTACCAGTTCAAGCTGTGACCTAACAGCTTAACCCTATAACATATGATGCACAAGCACTTACTGTCAGCCTTTGTGGATTGTGGATGTTTAAAGGTCCAGATTATGCTTTCTTCACTGAATTGGAAGACAGTCACAGGATGTTTGTGTATTAGTTGGTTTTGTGTTTAGTTTTAAATCCATGTAAATAGCCACAATTTCATTCTCCTCCTGCTTAGGGAGCTGAAGCCTCTCTCTTACTATTGAAAATAAAGAGTGGGAATCTGTTTGTCACTGGGGAAGGATGCCGCTTCAGGGGTCATTAAGATTTTACATAGAGGCAGCACTCTCTCAGTTTCAGGTCCTCTAGCATCCCATGGGATCTTTGCTATTAAGCTGTAATGCTTAATTTAAGCTCTTTCCTTAAAGAAATGGAAAAGCTGCTGTCAATTTGGAAATAGGTTCTAAGGCCAAAGATGGGTTAAGCACACGTGGTTAAATTGGTCACAATACCTGTTACTCTCTGTGGAGTTACAGTGATGGGAAAGCAACGACTCTGCTCCAAGCACTCCATTTCTTCCAGGATAGCTCCTTTAAAAGGACATGTTCTACACATATTTTTGTAAAACATATATAAACATATTGCCTGGTTTAAAAAATACTTTGAAGCATGTTAGGTCTGACATTGAGCCAACATTGTCCTGTCCAATGCTATTTACTAAAGAGTGATTCTAATTCTGAATTAATCATTCTGATTGTACTCTAATCTGCATCTAATTTCTGAACACAAATATCTTTCAGGAAATGATTGATGAAGCAGATAGAGATGGGGATGGGGAAGTGAATGAGCAGGAATTCTTGCGGATCATGAAGAAGACGAGCCTTTACTGAAATTGCATTTTATTTTATTTTTTTGCACACGTGTGTGTATGTCTGGTAGGTGCCTCACCTTTTTCCAACTTTTTATTTCTTTGAAGAGACCAGAAAAGTTAGGTCAATGCTTTCTTTTAAGCGACTGATCTTAAACTTGTGTTTGTGAACAATTACCAACTGTTAACCTGCTTACAATTAGCAACGTGGTTGCTTGTTTGTGCTCATAAGGTGTTTGCACTGTTCATTTTCAAGACAGACATTACAATTTTCAGTAACAGTATTCAGATCCTTATCTGACTGTAAGACGCATGTCAGATCATTATGGTTTGGTAAAGAAAGAACTCAAAATGAAAGTGTGAAATTGTATTTCTCAGCAATTGAAGTTTCTAGTTTAACACCTTTATTTGGGCTCGGTTATAGTGAACTCTTTATATGACATATTTGTGGGGATCAGCTTTTTTTACTCTGTCTTATGGTGATTATTCCCTCCCCCTTTTTTATTATGCTCTTAAAACTGAAAAAGTATAAATGAACTACTGCAACTTAACCTCCTGCTATTCAGTTCACACATTTAAAGGAATCTCATTGCAGAAAGAGAAACTTAGCAGTGCTGGTGATATATACATTTGCAAGAATATTCAGTGGTTTCAAATATAAGATTGTACTTAAAATAAAATGTCTTAATTTAAACCATCAGAGTTGTGGAAATAAGAATACAAAAACACGTCTCCACTGGGACAGCATTGTCTGATCTTTGGGCAAATAATAAAAAGGATTCTTATGGGTACTTCAGAGTTGAAACTTGAAATCTCCAGAAGGGCTCTAGTTACTAAATGCTTGGCTGGAGAGACAAAACTACACTGTATTCTGGCTTTGAAGTGGATCTGTCTGAGGTGAGAACAGAAGGGAAGGATGGTTTCCCCAGTCCTTCTGCTACTTCTGTTTGTTCCAGCAATCCTCTGGTATCCTCCCCCCTCACTCTCAGATGAGGAAAGAATGAATTCTTCCTCTACAGAAATTTTAGTGTCTTCCAGACTCCTCAATTCAATCAGTTCCTTTGCTTTTGACTATCTGCCTTTGTTCCTTTGCTGAACATTCAGTTTACTTGAACAATTCAAAAGCATGGGAAAAATTCGAAAACTAAACTGGACATGAAGGAAAACAATAATTGAACTCGGCCTATGTTATGTAGAATTCCCTTTAGACTTTTTTTTCTGCCTTTGAAAATAATGATTCATACATAGCTGCAGTGTGTCAGAAGGGAGCAGATTGTTGCAGTCTCTTGTGCCCCCGTGTGGCGAAGGAGAAACGGCACAGGAAAATGGCACTCCTAAACGGTACAGAAGCTCGGATCATTTATCGAACGAGCTCAATTTATTAGCAAGTTTGTCGGTTTCTGTACAGTTTCCAATCCTTTATCTACTCCACTTCATTCTCGGGTGACCTTCTATTGCTGCTGCAGTGATTCACGGTTTTGTTTAATCCTGCCGTGCAGAAATGTGACTTTTAACCTTAAACTTCATTTTTTTTTTTACCTAAAAACTGCAGTGCAATATACAGTTTCTTGCTGATGGTTCCTCTCCAGAGATGCACAAGGCGGGTCATTCTTTGTCAGAAATGATGCACATCAGACTTATGCTGTCCAGGCAGAGGAGCCACCCGTCCAAATTTCAAATACAGAACAGCGTGGGCTTATACCGAATTATTTGCTGCCAAATGCGAATGGATTCTGTGCGTTTTTCTCTGGGAGTAAATCTCCAGGATAGAGCCACGGTTGAAAACAAACCACACAAACCCACGCAACGCTCCAGCGCAAAGCCGCATCCTTCACAACAGCGACTCGCTCCCTCTGGGACGAGCGTGGTGCCGTGCCCCAGCCCTGGCGCTGTCCGGGAGGTGCCGCAGCCTTCCTGCTGGAAGCTCGGTGACCCCGCCGAGGCACCAGCCCCCGCCCGCTCTGCTCCTCGCCCAATCAGTTCGCACGCTTTCCCTTGACAGACAGGTGTGGTGGCCAACGGCAACACGGTTGCCATAGCGCCGGGAGGCGGGGCACTGCCCGGCGGCGGGATGGTGAGCTGGTGGGATCCGCCGGTCCTGCGAGCGGTACCCAGGAGGGGCTGCTGCTGGTGCGAGGATCCCGGGTCTCTCTGCTGCAGGCTGCTGGCGGCCCGACGGCTTCGAGGAAGGAGCCGGTCCCCACGTTCCCGGTCAGCGCTGAGCAGCGGCAGCAGCTGCGAGAGGCCTTTGACATGTTCGACCCCGACGGCTCCGGACTGATGGATGTCAAGGACCTGAAGGCAGGAAGCCGTGAAAATGCAGTGTTCACTGGTGAAAAGGAAGCACGGGGAGCGGAGGAAGGCTGCGAGGTTTAGCAGCCCCTCCTTGTGCCCCTCCCTGCACGGAGGCACACCGGGGCGGCTGAAGCTGCTCGTTCCCCTCTGCTGCTCTGGAGTCTCCTCTGCTTTCTTCCTTTGAACAGCAATCATATAGATTTCTATAGATGTGCAAGCGAAGCTCTCTAGCAGCCCCTCATCAGCGGCTTTTACAAGGGTCGGCACGTGCCTTGTGTAGCTGAAGGGCTGCAGCTCCCAGGGGATGTCTGAGCTCGGATCCCCGGCCCGGAGGACTGACAGGGATGCTTTGTGACCACAGGTGCTCTCGGATCCAGAATTACTTGTAGTCAAATAAAGGTGACAGTCAGTAAACAGAAATGTTGCAAGTAGGGTTAATCATTCACAAGCACAAATAAGCCTAATAATTTACAAGCTGCACCTGTTGTGGAGCTGTTACAGAGCAATTAGTGTTTACTACTCATTGCTTTTGGATCACTTGCTGAGCTGTCAGGCGTTGCTGCTAGGACTGTGGCTTGCTATGTAGCCAGCAATCATGCAAGAATGGTGCCAGTGTTTTAGCCAGGTTTCCTTAAGAGGGATTGAAGTCTTCCCTCTCCTTGGCACTTGCCTGCAGATCTTCCCTCCCAGTTTTCCACAGCCTTGTACTGCTGACATCAGACAGCTACAGAACACTGTTCTCTAGGGACAACATGGAGGATGAATAGCTTGTTCTGTGTTTTGTACAGACCTTTCCTCTCCTGCTGCTCAGATATTTTGCACACAATTCCTTCCCATTCACTTATAGAGAAGGGTTGAGCAAGCTTGTCTGCATGGAGATGCTGGGAGACAAGCTGGTTTGCACAGTTCCTGCCCTTCCATTTGTTGCTGTCTCCACTGTATGTGCAATTGTCATAGCTAATTGCAGAAGCATGGAGGAAATTGCATGGGAAAAGAGATCTGGGTTAAAAATAAATTTCATATTACAAATATATATACACATATGCAAATATATAGTCATTTCCTGGCACTGTTGAGGTGGAGGAATGCAGTGCTTATTGGCAGAGGAGCAATAAGGAGCTGATGGGAATGGTGAAGAGCAGCAAGCAAGTAGTGTGTCAGAGACTGTACCTTGAAAAATCACATCCTGGATCTCTGAAAGGTCTTCTCTAAAAGACCTTCACATTCCAAGGATGGTTATTTTCAGTAGTCTGATTTCAGCAACTCCTTTTTCTGTTTGGCCTGATAAATAAGTGCTTGTGTTGATAAGCTGCAATATATGAGCACCTGGAATGGGGCTGTGGGATTTGAAATTTCTTAATCAGGTCTGTCACCAAGTTGACTTCATGAACGTGTGCAGCCTTCTGGCACAGGCCCAGTTTCACTGCAAAGTCAGAAGGCTGCTCTGTTGTCTGCACAGTAGACAGGCTGTTTGTCCTGTTATCTTTTCACTGAGGCAAAAAGTTCTTCCTCTCCCTTCCCACCTCACCCCCTTTTACATGTACCTACTTGCTTCAAACATCTTTTCTGCTTTGTTTCTTTTTGACTTGTACAGTGACGTTGGTCTGTTTTCTCATTTGGCAGATAATGATGAGAGCTCTGGGCTGTGAACTCAGGAAAGTGGAGATGAAGAGAATTATCTCTGAAGTTGATGAGAATGGGTCAGGGAAGATAAACTTTGAGTCATTTCTGCGGGTGATGACCCAGAAAATGGTGTGTGAGCCCAGCTGGTCACAAAGACTGAAATTCCTCTTGCCTAACTTTACAATGCAGGTACTTGCAGTGGATCGGGTTACTGGTTCCCTGCAGGAGAGAAACAGGACTTTCATCTGAGGTATTTTAGATATCTGCCCTTGGGTGAATTGTTTTTACCACTCCTGCCTCTTTCCATGAGGATCTAGGATGGCTAGTTCAGGTAGTTTTGCATTTCAGCAAACAATTTCTCTCTATCATTGAGTGCACTGAGCACAGTGCCTGGGATCTTTCCTTGGAGACCAAAGGACTTGGAAACCTCCAGGAAAGAGTTCCACTGTCAGCCCTCAGACCATAGCAGAGATAGACATAATAGGAATGAGTGCAATCTCCCCTCTCCTCCTTTAAATTTTTACATGTGGAATTTCAGCTCCGTATTTATAATTGCAGAGTTCTAGATTTCCTTAAAACCAAAACAGCAGGGAGCAAATGTCACACATCAGATGACAATGAAAAACCCACTCCCTGTGAGCAATAGCCACTCAAGCCTGTAGAGTGTCCTCAGATCTGCTGTTTGATACCAGCCCTTTGATTCACATGTCGTAGTCTGCATTGCCCGTCTGGGATTCCTTTGGCTCATACACCTCTGTATCCTCTGGTACCTGGCTGTATGTAGACATAGGCTGTTCTCAAAGAATGCCAGCATGACTGGTTTTGCCCCTCACATCCTTGTAATTTCATTGCAAGGCTTTGTGAGATGACTGGGTCATAGCTGGCATTGCCATTCCTGTGTACATGCCATCAGAGTTGCCAGGGTGTGGATGTTTGGACCTATGCTAACAGCAAAGTGAAGATCCATATTTTCCCCATAGTAATGCTTTGGAGTTCAGTCAAAGCCCACACCTAATTGAAGGCTTGTGTACACATTGCCTGTGTGTGAGGTAAATAAAGGCAGCAACAGCCAGCAAAAGTCTGGCTCACTTTTGAAATAAAATACAGCTGTAGCCATTGGATCGTTCTTGGCAGCAGCTTCTACCTTCAGTGGTGTTGCTAATCTCTCTCTTCCTGACAAAGCTTGGCCAGGACATTCCAGGCCAAGTCCCCATACTGTTCAAAAAACTTCTGTTTTAGCTTTTCCTTTAATACATGGTAACACTGAGAAGAAGGGGGAAAAAGTAAAAGAAAAGTGAAAGAGGAATGGCAGTGGCAAACAGCCCTCCTCTGTGACTCAAAATGATGTCTTGGATTTTATTCCAAATGTTTGCTGGGTAAAGTGTCTGAGTAGGGATTGTAGACTGGTATGATATCATGCCTGCATGAAGATGTTTTTCATTTCCTTGCTAAGGCAGAGCCGTTTTCAAAAGAGGAGATCCTGAAAGGTTTCAAGCTGTTTGACTATGATGGCACTGGCAAGATCTCTCTTGAGAAACTCAAGCTGGTGGCTACTGAGGTTGAAGAAGACATCACAGATGAGGAGTTGCAGGTTTGTGAAGCACAAGCATATTTCTCTTGCTCAGGGAGGGAGTGATTACTGATTGGGGAATTGTGCTTTGTTTCTTTGCAACAGACACAATCTGTTTCTCTTGGTGTTGACATGAAGCCTTGCCTGAGATCTTATTGGTGTTTAGGCTTTATGACCCTCCATCCTCTCAGATCCCACCTAATCTGGTCTCCCAAATCTTCATTATCTGACAGGAGATGATTGATGAAGCAGATGTGGATGGAGATGGGAAAGTGGATCCAGAAGAGTTTTTGCGGATTCTGACATTGACTGACTTGTAACTACATGATTTTCTTTTTTTCTCCCATTCAATTGTAAACAACTGTTTGCAGTATCACTTCTTTCCAACTTTTAAATTTTTTTGTGTGTTGCCTTTCTTGGGTGTGAAAACACACTGAGTTGTTTCATTTTTGGTGTTGATTCTGCTCCATCACTGCAAGCAGTTTTCTATATCCCAGTAAACAGTTTTGCTGCTAGCTCTGTGTCTGTGTGGGTTAATTCTAAAGGTTAAGATTAATTCAAATTCATCAGCCTTCCCCTAGAGTTCTCTCTATTGTAACTACATCCCATGGCTTTTCAGCCTGATAAAGTTAGTCAAAACACTCTTAATCTCAGAAAATATAAATTTCAAATGTTAATATTTATGACAAAACCTTCTGTACCTTTCCTGATTTTCTGGTATTATGTAAAAGACAAGCATTTGAGGACTTGGGAGCAGTTATTTTCCATAAGGTAGTGAATATCTTATACTTTGAATTTCCCTTCAAAAGTAGCAGTACAGGAGAACAACTATGCAGCTATGAGACTGGAAGATGTAATGAGGTCAGGTCTCCCATGGATTTGTGCTTTTTTCCTAACGAAATGCAAATTCAGACTGAATTTTCTTCATGATTGGAATACTCAGCACAGTTTTCTCTGGGTATTGTTGACCAGGGAATCTGTAGACTTTTCATGCTAAGCATACATTTCCCTCTTTTTCCTGGCAGCTACTGTCCCCAAACTGGCTGATCCTTTATGTCTTGCAGGCTTTTGAATTTTTAGTAAATGTTATGGAAGGTGGGTAATTGCTTAAAAATGATTGGTAGGAGAAGCAGTGGAAAAAATATAGAAAAGCTAAGGGCCATTTTTATTTAAAAACAAAACAAACAACATGGTACAATTGTCATTCTGGGCTGTTGTGACCCTGCCACAAGTTCTCGAGTTCCTATATGCAGCTCCACTGCAGCATGTGGGTACATTCCTTCCTACTTTGATCACTGGTGTAGTCTTGAAGGATCTTGTCGTGTTGCTAAGAGTGAAAAAATGTGCATGTGTTTAGGAAAGGATGTAAAGAGCCTGACGAGTTTGCTTAGAAGAGTCTCAGAAAATAATTACTAGCTTAGAAAAAATGTCTTAATACAGTGAGAATTTAACAGTTCAGCCTGTAATTATTATGTGATGCTACATATAGAATAAGAGCCTGTATAAGAACATACAAGCTACCATCTAAAATGCTTTTCAATCTAACGGAGACAAACCTGTCAAAATCCTGGAGCTGGAAGTAAGCTGTTCAGCTATAAAAGAGAAATAAGGCATGGTTTATCTTAAATAACAGTGATTAACTGTAGGAGTGAGCCATCAAATGGCATAGCAGTGTCTCTAAGCAAAGAACGAATCCGCTCAGCAGGTTTGCTTCAGTAAAATGTGAGTTACTGTGCTCCTGTAGAGCAGTCAGATTACACAGATGAATAGATCCTTCTGGCCTTACAAATCAGTGCCTGGCCTGTTATCTGAACAGCTATGTGTGGTACTCAGTTATTTTTAGTGTCTTCTCTTTGCCAAACTTCACTGTCACCAAACCAGTTTACAGCCTGATGTTCCAGTTTCAGCTAGATGGGTATCTTGGCTGTCCCTGTTGCAATGCAGAATTGTTGCTTCCACATAATTTCTAGGAATTTTCCTAGGGACTGAAAGTAGTTGGAAACTGCAGCACTTTCTTTGGGATGCCCAGATCTCACCCTTGACTCTTTGTGCTTCCAAAGTACTCCATGCTATCGTAACTGGTCTTGCCTTAAAACAAGAAAAGAATTTAACAACTTCTTGTTAAACCTTCCTGTTAATGTTGGTTTGCTTCTGCTTTTACCAAATCTGAGTTCTAAGAAAACCTAGGAAAACAAGGGGGGGTTGTTACTACTGACTTCCTTCTGTGCTATTTTCCCCATTTACTGTCCAGCCACTAGCACTAACAACATATCCTAACGCAGAGTAAAAGAAAAAATAAAAGCAGAATTCAGCCTTTGTAAAATATGTCTGTTTTATTCAGTACCAAAACTGTGCTCCTTCCTTTTGCCACTAATTCATCTATTCTGTGATATGGTGAAAAGTAGGGAGAGATAGATTTATAACAGATCTCAGAACAATTCCCATTCACACATGATGTGCTTGTCAGGTCAGCCAAATCATAACTGAAAAGACCCAGGCAACTGCCCAGCTACTCAGAACCACAGATAATGCTGGCATTTGAGCCCTGTGGAAATCTGGCATCTGTGTGTCAGCTTATGACACTGACACTCATTACAGAATCAGAGAATTGCTGCTGATTTGGGGTCAGTACAGTAAATGTCCATGATAAAATATGCCAATCTTATACTGCTCCTGTTCTCTCACCCCAGCAGCCACCGGTGTTGCAGTGTGGGGAAGAGCTCTAAGTAGCAGTTTGCCTGTTGACATTTAGCTTTGTGGCATTTAGGCAAGTCTGATCACTTCTTTGACCATTTTTCCAATACCATCATAGATCTCATGAATGGGGGCATTGCACATGAAGGCACTGGTGGTCACCAACTTGTTCTTCACATCCACATGAACTTCAGTGACGTGTTTGTTTATGTGCTTGCAGCCAAGTTCCTTCATGGTCTCAGCAGTCTTTGCATAAGGCCATCTATAAGAAAAGAGAAAAAGACCCGTGTAGAGGATCTGAGAAAAGCCTACAATGAAAAGCCTGTTTGCACCTCACAACAGCATCTTTTAGGCCATTACAGAGAGATGTATGGTCCCTATAAAAAGCCTGCTTAATAGGTTGTAAATCTTTTCCTGTCAAAATAATTTTTCTAAGACTGTAGCATCAGGAAAATCTCCAGATTACAGTGCTGAAGTAAAGCTGACATAAAACCTTGATGTTCCAGCATAGTTGTTCTGCTGCTTAATTCTATGCACTCTATACTTATTTTGGGGTTTGGTTTCTTCACCAGCTTTCTATACTAATAACAAGAGCCATCAGTTTCTCCAGTGGGAGAATTTCCCACTCGAAGAATTCAGTCACAGCTTTCATGGATGGATAATGTCAGTCTCAATCCCTGCCTTTTATGTGTTATGCAGCCACCTTGTTCCTACCTGGGATCTGCTTAACTTTTAGTCAGTGGTCTGGCATCTTTCCCACCTTTCCTGCCATGGGACTGGAAGGTGCACAAGGCACAGTACTAGATACACTGGAGAGAGATTGCTGATTCTGTGACTTTCATGGAATGATTATGTATCAGCATCCCAAGGTTACTTACTTCTCACACTCTGTGTCATGACCGACAGTCAGCTCACAGCCTGGGAAGATTTTGGCTGCCAGCACTGGGGAAATGCAGCACAGGCCAATGGGCTTTTTGGCAGCATGGAATGCCTTCAGGACATCCTCCACTTCTTTGGAGACTGTGCAGTTCTTTCCTTGGGTGGCCCAAGTACTCAGGTTTTTAGCCACTCCAAAGCCACCTGAGAAAAGGGAAACAGGTTAGACAAGAAGATTAGTGCTCCAGGGCAGGACTTTTGTCAGGTACGGTTTGTTAGAATGTTAAAATGGATTTGGTGGATAGAAACCTTTAGGCAACACTGATGGAAGAAAGCAGAACCTTTGCAAGGCACTGAATATTCTCAGCTCCTGACCACCATGAGATAAGATTCTAAAGCACCATCTCTGTTTCTAAAGAAAACTGAACTGGAGAGGTATCAGTGCACTGCTGGTTACCCTGTTCCACTTATGAGCTCTTCTCTTTCTGTTATGGTAGAGCACGCTGACAAGCTGACAACCTTTCACTTGTCTTTTAATCCTTGTTCCAGGTCTCATCCAACCCCAATGAAATACTTTCACCGAAGACTGATTTCAGAAGAGATTGCACTTTTCACTTCTGAGTCACCCTCTCTGTGTCCCAGCTTTTGTTTCTCCTGATATAAGGCAGGCATGTTGGTGAGGGAGGGGATAGTCTTACATCCAGTAGAAAGAAGCTAAGTAGATGTACAGAGAGTAAGGTGGTTATCTGTTCTCTCTTCTTGGGACAAATTTCTGTGCTGCCATGTGCTCTTGTAATATAAGTTTAAGCAAGCACAGATGGAGGATGTCCATCATTCCATTCCTGTCTCCCAAATTATCTTTTCCCCAATTGCTTTGCCCAATTTCTCTCAGTGTGTGTTTTTCAAGGCTTACATATATCTAAGCTGTTCCAAGACCGCGGGCATGCAGACCCCACATACCAACCTACCTGGTATGATTAAGGCATCCAACCCCTTGACATCCAGCTTAGTCAGATCCTTGATGTTGCCTCTGGCTATTCTGGCACTTTCAACTAGTACATTGCGCTTCTCCTGAGTTGGCTGTCCTTTCACGTGGTCTACCACATGCATCTGGTCAACATTAGGAGCAAAAACCTCTGCCTGAGAAGGGAAGAAAAGGTCTGTTATCCTTCAGGCATGTATCCTAAACATGTTCAATACCACAGGTAGCAAATTAAAATACTTGAGTTGCTTTGTTAGGAAAGACCTTTGTTGGTGATTGCAGGCTCACCTGTATCAGATACTGGGATCAGGAAGGTTACTGTTATATGTAGTGTTATATTTTGGGAGCTGAAATGGAGCAGCCACTCCTTTCCTTCCTAAGAAAACAAGCTGTTCCAAGAGTCATGCATGAAGCTAATTTCCTAGAGTTTTCCATTCATGTCCCAAGCAATCACTTTTGCTTTGGTGGCCCAAATCTGTGCTCATAAAGCCAGTTATCCCATACGGTCGCTGAGTTTTCCCCACTAGAGGTCCCTGCCAATCCAGGGATAAGCGCAGGGCGATGCTTTAAGCTCGCCAATTTAAGATACGGTGGGAGAACTGCAGCACTGCAGGAGCGAAGGAAAAGAGGCGAGACTACAGACAGCAGAGAGACAGTTGAGACAAGTCTCATCTTTAATCCACATTGCGAACACACTTTGAAGGCTTTGGAATTGGGTGGGCAGGCCCTGCAGTGCTGTGCCTTCATATTTAGTGGAGCAGTTCCGATTTCCAAGAAACCAGCTCTGAGCCACTCACAGACCTCTCTCTTTTCTTCCTCTCTCAAAGAGCAGCTGTTGTGACGTGGTGTAACAGCAGTTGCTGCAGGATCACTCTTTTTTGCCCTTTCTCCAGTTCAACTCACAAGGACGCATCTATTTCCTGTTTCAATCTTCAGTGTTTTAAAAGGATGAGTTTCGAACGGCCGAAGTCATCAGTAGTCTTTGGAACAGAAGTACCAAAGCAGAGGAGAGGAAGTGTAAGCCAGAAACAGAGAGGTTCTCTTAAGAAAGTTTGCTTCAGAGTTTGAGTAGCACACAGAGTTGCTGAGCACAAAGCACACAGCCAGTCCTCTAGTTGAGCAAAGCTGTGAGCACAAAGCAGAGAGCAGAGCATTCTTCATGTTTGCTGTAGCAGCCCTGACACTGCTGTCTGCTTTGACTCCTCTCACTTAATGCTTTGCAATGGCCCCAGTGAAAGTGAGAAACTTGTGATTGGTCTAGCAAGATGCAAAGCTGCTAAGAGCAGTACTCTGTGCAAGAGAGACAAAGTGAAAAGCAGAGCCACGGCAAAAGGAGATAGAGATGGGGCAGGAGCCTCTTACCTGTGCCCCCTCCCTGCTGAGATGCACCAACACAGCCGAAGACTCGTGGATCTCACTGCCATCGTACACCCCACAGCCAGCCAGCACAACAGCCACTCTCTTTCCCATGGTCACAGAAAGAGCAGGAGGATTCCCTGGAGAGCCTCAAATAGCTGTGCATCTCTGTGCACTGCCTGGAGCCTTTTATAGCTTGATCCCTCCCCCAGGAGCAGGTGGGGCCAGGAGGGTTGGGCTGAATTTCTTACTGGCAAGACGGTTTTATTTCCAGCACCACAGGCAGGGCGTGTAAATATTATTTGTTTCCTCAATTGACTGCTCCCATGCAGACATTCTTACCAGCACGTTGTCTGCTGAGCATCCCCAACTGACGTGAGCTGTTCAGCAAAGCAGCTGTTTTTCCTTTTGAGATGTCGATTTTCCATTCTACTTCAGACTAAAGCAGTAAAATCTTTGTGCATAAGATGGTATCACAGGGAGCTAGCCCACAGCAAGTATTTCACCAGTGCACTTCCTATCTGTGCCCCATTTTGAAGACCTACGCTGCACCGGCAGCTTCTCTCCTTTTAACACCAAGATACCCTTTTCTGACCTTAAGTGTCCTCAGCCTCTCTGAAGAGCAGAAGTTTTGCAGTTGTTTCCTGGCCTTCAGGTCCTGAGTTAGGAATGAATAACACAATTCTCCATCAACAGCACCATCTGTCCAAGCAACAACATTTGCAAGGAAAATTGAAATAGGAACTGGCAGAGCCCTGACCAATACAGATGTACATGGTTGCAAGGTTCACAGCATGTGGTGGGGATGCTTCCTTGTTCATGTGGAGACCTGTTCTCTCTCGTCCTTGAAATGCTCACACCTGAAAAGATTGTGAGCATTTCTGATGTAGCTTTTCAGTGTTGAAATAACCTCTTAAGCTTATCTTGCCATTTTTCAGCAAACAACAAAATTTGTGCTACTTGACTAAAGAACATTTTTCTAGGCTTATTTGTAAGAAAACGTCCTTGTCTCTCTCTCAGAAGAGATATGAAGTGTATTTTGTTTTTAGTGAAATAGTTGCTTGGCAAGTTCTTTAGTCATACAGGCATAAGAAAGATGTTCTTTTCTGATGCATGTGACTTCATTTACTGCATGCATCTTACAAACAGTGATATCAGGCACTATATACTCAACTATACAAACGGGAATAAAGCACCTGTTTGATGGGTAGAAAAACAGTTTTTATTATCTGTGAAAAAATTAAAATGTGAGATAAGTGGGGGAAATTCCCAAAGCCTTTTCTCTTCTGTTTGGTTTCATATCTAAGTTATTGTAAGCATAATTTAGAACCGTATTATTTCCTCTTACAGGAAAACAAAAACAGCTGAATCATGCTGCAACTTGAAAAGACAGTTTCTTCCTCCTTAGACTGATAGGAGAGCAATCAATTAATGATGGCAGGCCAGGCTGGATGAATCTAGTGCTTGATCTGGAGTTTGGCAACCCTGCCCATAGCAGGGGAGTTGGAACTATATGATCTTTGAGGTCCCTTCCAACCCAAGCCATTCTGTGATTCTAAGATAGATCATGGCTGATGACTTAAATAAACTTTGGACTTGCTGTAAACCACATCGTGTAGCATATTGCAAACTGATGGCATTGTTTCCCCTTACTGAAATAACTGTCTACGTGTAACTGAACAAAATAGGCTTGTTCTAGAGCTTGTTTCCTTGTGTGACAGGGTGTATCTCAATAGGCAAATTAAACTTAAAGATCTACAGATCTTTACAGATGTATTCTTGATAATTAATGCTTTTCAGCTAAGTTTTTCCATTCTGAATGAGAGCGTCTGCACACATCAATACCTTGCTTAAATCTGCATTAATATCCCAGTGAAGATGAGTGTGAAGGAACTCTTCTGCGCTGTAGCTATTCTCCAAGTGTATCCTCCAGAGCACTGAAGAAACCACAAATGTTTGGGTGCCAGTGTAAGGATCCAATTTGTCAGTGGAAGCATGCTGTCCCAGTCCATGTGGCTCAGCAGGCAGGAGGAGCAGCATCCTCTGGCATCATCTGTGGATCCTGCCAGTCTGGGATTGTTCTGGATTCCCAGTTGATGTGTAACCAACATGATCCCATAATGACCATGGGCCACTGACCACTGCTTTCTATGGCCTCCTGCACCCCCCTGATCACATATTCTCACATATTCTCCATAGCAAGCAGGAGGAAGCTGTGAATAGGTCCTTCATGTCGCCTTTGGGATACAGCAATGATGATCATGGCAATGACTGGTATCACTTTGCTGCTTGCACAGTTCTCCTGGAAAGCCAGTAAGACACTTCCAGATTTTATCCTCGCACTGTTGGTCTCCAGACTTCACTGACAACTCACTCATGAAAGCCCCGTAGGAATTAGGAGGAGTTCCCTGAGAGTGTGTGCAGAGAGGCTGGATGAGGTGGATGTGGAGTGGCACATGGACAAAAGTCACCTTTATGGGAATGGCACTGAACATCCCCTGGGCTTGCCCAGCACAGGACATTGGTGCCAGGCATTCATAGCTGTGATGGGGGCAAACAGGAGGACTGTGGCAGGTGTTAGGAGAAATAACTGGTCCCCAGGGATCTCCTGGGCTTCCAAAATACTTGTTTGCTCCAGCGAGATGGAGTCTTTAAAAACCCTTAATTTTAACCAGTGTAATTTCCTCACTGGCAATAGCAAAAAGGCAGTAATAGTAATAAACCGTAAGTGTTATTTTTCAAGTGTCTTTTTTAACAAGGGTTAATCAACAGTAAAATTAACAGGCCCCTGGAGGGAGCTACCAGCAGTCCATTCTGACTCAGACTGAAATTTATTGCAGCAAGAAACTCGTTTGCATTTCCTCCCGCATGCAGAAAGAAACACTAATAGAAGATGTTTGTAGGGAAAAGGGGTGGAGAGCAGGGAGGAACACAGGCCAGTGGAGTTGGTTTGGTTATAAAGAGCTAGGGAAGAAAGAGAGGCAGCATTTCAGCCCGCATCTGGGTCTTCAGCGAACTCTGCGATGGCAGTCAGAAAAGCTGAGTCACTGCATTACTCCATAGGGCTCTTGGGCATTTCCGCAGGTAGGGATCGAGTCTTCTTGGCATGGGAGGATGGGGTTGGGACTAGCTTTCATGGACAACCCCCTTTTTGAAGGGGTTAAAAAGTCTGTTTACTCCAAATCTTCTCCGCTTGGGTAAAATTTTTAGAGACGGGAGATCCCTCTGCCTGGTTCAGCAGCCAACAAAATATTTGTCTTGGCTTTAAAATGCTGGCCTGAATTTTTGTAATTCTTCCAACCTAGGTGGGAAGCAAATCAAAGCTTTTTGATAGTCATTTTCATAAGTGATTTTTTTTTTTTTAATGCACTTTCCTCTCTCTCTGTCTTTCCTGCCGCTCTGTTTTCTGTGTCCACTCCCTTTCTTTTGTCTTTCGCATTTCATCTTTCTGAGTGCTGCTCCTTTCCATTTTTAGGCTAGTTTTCTGTAGTCACAAGGCTTATGTGATCATCTTCAGAGCATGTCTGTGTGTTTGTTGGAATCGGAGAGCTGGTTTTTATTTTTTTCCAGCAATGAGGGAGCACCTCAGATACAATTAAGTTCAAGTTTCTCAAAAGTAGGCACCCAGAAAGATGTGAGACCTTGGACACAAACCAACTTACAACACTCTCCCTTGATTTTACTACTTACAGATCTTTTACTGTTATTTTTTCTCTGTTCCTTGCTCCTGTCACTCTGGCTCTCTCCTGGTGTTTTTTTTTGGGGGGTGAAGTTTACAAGCTCTTTCTCTTTTTCCACCTCCTTTGTCACACACAGGATCACTCTTGCTGGCAGTACATTTCTACAGTTCACTCAGAGCAGCCCCTGTGATCCCCAGCACAGCTCTAGGGATTCTTCTGTTGATTTTATCATCTCTTTTGGCATATGCAGGTAAGACTCGGAAGGCAGCCAGCTTCTAGGCCTCCTCTTCTATAGCCTTACATGTATTTGGTCTGCTTTGCCAACATGTTAGTACAAACTGTGGCAGCCTTGCCAGACCGCTGACGTCTCCTGCTTGAGGAATATATCAGCACACCACTTTTTTCCTATCTAAGCAACAAAAGAAATAAATGTTAGTTTTGAACAAATGCTTTATCATGATCTCTGACAATTTTAACAGAGTGAACATATGATTTCTCTAAAAACTGTTTCCAAGCTCACTTGGGGACTAGTTTAGGCATCTGTGGATTGAAATGGCATGTTGTTCCTTTTGTGCAGACCCAACCCAAGCTCACAGTAGCTCTGTTGACCATCATGCAGCTCCATGCTCATGTGGTGATCGTGGTTCCAACACACAACGTGCCTGTAGCACAGCTCCTTGTCCTAAGTACTACTTTCCATAACCTACTGCGTTGAAATCACATTTCTGTCTCCACTGCCATTTGTTTCGTAGGAATTTGGAGAAGCCTAAGAAATGCCACTCTATTCTCGTCTCTTTTCCTGACCATCTCAGTGTTCTGGTGTGGCTATGGAGTGGTCTTCATCCTGCGAGGGCAAGGAGTTTTGAACGACACCGGTGACTTCCGCAATGCCTTGGTGCCTGGCCTGGTCACGTTTCCTTTGGCACTACTCATTATTGCAGTGGTGGGCTTCCTTAACAAAGAGGTCGTTCTAGCTATGATTGCTTCTGCTGTCTCACTTGCCAGTGCTCATGAAGTTGCCATGCTTTATAACACAGCTTTTGGTTCCTCTGCTGTGGCTTGCAACTATATGATTGTCTGCTTAGCTGGTGGTTACTTTGCTCTGGGAAGGATTCTTTATTTCCTCTCCAAAGAGAAAATTGCCATCCCTGGCACAGATCTTGCCAAAAATAAGGCCCATGAGCAGATCCAGTCCACCAGTGTCAGCATGAATCATTTTGCAGTCACTGGTCTTATCCTGAACATGCTTTCTGCCAGTGTCTTCGGCTGTAGGCTCCTGGGTGTCACTAGCAAACTATTTATTGGGCAAGTGCCCTGGCTGTGGGCTGCCGGGATCTACCAGATTGGAGTCTGCATTTTGTCATACCGTGCAATGGATGTACTAATGGCTACGTTCTTTGGTTTCACTTCCATCCTGAAATTTGCTGGGGGCTATTGCCTTCTATACCCAATCTGGCAAACAGAGGAGCCAACTTTTCCTATCCCATTCCTTGTGGTTTTTTCAATTCTTTTTGCAGTCTTAGCTCTTTTTCTCACTCTTAAGAGCCTGGCAGATGGCCTGTATTTGCTGTTTTACGTGGCCTACTGCATTGCATTAGCTTGTTGTCCCAAGGGATTTTTCGAAGGTGGACCCCAAGGTGTGGATGTGGCCATCTTTGTGGCCTCAGCCTTGATGACTCTGATTCACCTGTACAATGTGAAAAAAGCAGGTGCCAAAATCCCAACAGGGGAGGGTGTTGTGAAGGCCCTGCTTGCTAGCAGCAGTTTTCTGAAGCTTCGTGAAGGGGCAAACCTTCATGCACCCTACCTAGGGTATTCAAAGTATGCAGATGCTGAAGTACTTGGCTATGCATGTAGTGTCCTTGCTTCGTTTTCAATAACAGTGACTGGGGACCCACAAGCTCCGCTTGCTACTGTTGTAATTCCGTGGGTAGTGGTAGCTGGTGGGATCCTTAAGCTTTTAAGTGGCTCAGTGGCTTTTGCCCGGGGTAAAACCCTGGAGAGCAGTGCCTTCATTCTTTATGCTGTCATGTGGATCATCTGGGGCTTGACGAGATATGGTGGCCTCTATGGCACTAGCAGAAGCTTCCACACAGCAGTAGGGATTATTGCTTTCATGCTCTTCAATTGCTTCATTGTCTTCTGCACACTCTTCTTAAGCATCAGCTGGTTCTTTTACTCCCTCACTTTCTTGCTCATTGCTGTCAGCTTCTTGCTGGATGCCATCAGTGCTCTTCCAGCTGGCTATGACATTGCTGCCACTCTCATCTTTGGTCTGGTCAGCTTTTACTGCTTCCTGTCTGCCCTTTTCAGCAGCACTTTTGAGGGTTCCTGCTTACCAATGGGTAGGGCCCTTGTGCAGCTTAGTGGTGTGGGGGGAGGAATGACCAAGTGCCTTCATCTGCCTGCCAGGAAAGCTTCCTCAGTCAAGAGAATTGCAGGTAAGGGAAATATATAGGGGATTATGCAGGGTGGAGGGGTAATTCTGGGAGATTTTGTAGCAGAATGGTATTAAACGGTAGCAGAACGGTATTAAAAGGACATTTTTTCAATCTAGATGTGGAAACCTTGATAATCTGATTATATTTTGACCAAGTGGGCCAAGTTTTAGAAACTAAGATCACTATGGGGGAAAATAGGACCAATTCCTTGATAGGACTTGGGTTTAGCAGTGAACTCACTGCTGTCTCTCCTATATCATGTCACTGTCCAGTCTGAAACGTGTATTCTCCAAGGCTAGGGCTGCCACTGACAGCTTTCTACAGAGAGTGCATGGTGCTTGCTTTCTCCACAGGGCTGAATGACTTCTAGCCCAGATGAACATGTCCCAGAATTCCCCTAAATGCCAGATATCTTCTTGGGTGAATGCTAGAAAATGCACTGTCAGAGGAAATACTTTGCCAGTTGGAAAAAGGAGATGAGAGCACTGAATTGGCTGTTTTGTCTGTGACAGCTCTCCCGTGAATTACAGACCCTCAGTTCTAGTCACTCAAGGGATTCTGCCCTGTTCACATATCAACAGATATCCTGAAGAACGGAGGGACTTGCGGCATCCCCACCGACACTGTGTATGTGCTGGTAGCAGCCTGTAATCGGCCTGATGCTGTGGAGAAAGCTCACCGGTGAGTATTACCTCACTGCCCTGGTGAAGCTAAGGAAGCCTGTCAGAGATACAGCTTCTGCTGAGTTCTGGCTACAGCAGCCATTCGGAGCAATGAGACATGTACCTTAATTTTACCAGGAACAATAACGTGATAAGCCCAGGGGAGAAGATCCAAATGAGAAAAGGAGACAGCTGAGCAGGAATTGTCCTAAAGTATATTGAAGGCTCCCGACAGGAGATGGAGCCAGGTAGCTTGGGTATCACAAGGAAACTCAAAGATCAAGAAATGTCATAATAGAGCAGGGAGTTATTGTACATATCTCTAGATACATATCCTCACAACTAAAATCCCTCTTCTCTCTTGTGTTTAACAAATGTCTCTAGCTCTACTTCTGCAAGCAGCTGAGACCCCTCAGAACTTGGGAAACTGGGTCTTGTACCTGTCACTACACAAGAAGCTAAAGCCTTCATTTGGAATTTGTAACTGGGAGCAGACATTCAAGTTCTTTCCTCTCAGACTGTCTGTTGAAACAGTCCTACTTTCATTATAGACTCTTGGACTCCAGACCTGTCTAATGCCATTTCTTTTTCAGCTTGGAATTAAATTCTGGCTTACTTCCAAACTTGTTTTTCTTGCCTCCTTTCCAGCTCCAAGCGCCAGGCTCAGGAGCGCCCCATGTCACTCTGGATTTCTAGCCTGAAGCAACTAGAACCTGCAAAACATTTGTTCAGCCCCCTCCTCTGGGACTTCATGGATGCTGCCTGGCCATCTCCTATTAGCTTGGTGATTCCCAGAGGTGAGGAAATGCTGTTACTTCCAAGCTCTCTGGAGAGTTTTGGGTTTGAAATTCCAACTGTAAGTCATGTTTCCCTGCAATGCCATATGTTCCGCGGCAGTATCTCTAGAAAGATCACTGTGTTTGGACTGATGCACATCAGTAAGTGCTGTGTGACTCTTCCTTGTGCAGGTAAATGGGTGGACTTCCTGGGAATGAAGGACTCTGCTAAATACGTTGGTACCCCTCAGAGCGTTGCCATCCGCATCCCTGACTGCTCGGTCACCACGCACCTCATTGACTTGGTGAGTGATCCTACCTTGAACACTTCTGTTGCAAGCACAGGTTTGTCTGAAGTCAAACGTGGCTTGTGGAACAACAGCAGCTACAACCTGTAACTCAGTGACTTTACCTGTGCAGTAGCTGCTGGGGTAACGACCTGTTTTGTACCACAAAACTTGCTGAGAGCTCTTGTTCCCATTTTTTTTTTCTTTTTTTTTGTCACCAGGTTGGCCCCATTGTGGTCACATCAGCTAACCCAACAGGAGAGGCAGACACAACACACCACAATCAAGTGTATGCCAAGCTGGGAGATAAGGTAATCGTGGCTTTGTGTCTTTTCAGTCCAGCAGGTCCCAAAAGAATGGAAGAACACAATTACTCTGTTCCCAGTAGGCAAGTCAACAGATGATATCAAGAATATGGGAGAACATCTAATTAAATATGTCATTGACACTCCTCCTGTTGGTGATGGAGTGAGAGAACAATGTAAAATGAAAAACTTGATGAGAAGCCAAAATGCTTCTGTTTTGTACAGTATAGTTATGGCTTGGCAAAATGAATTAGTTTGTCTTCAAACAAAGGATGATACGAGCAACAAAAAAATGCCTCACTTTGTACAAGCAACAGAAACACTGATGCCTAATTGTACCAGGGCTCTAGCTGCCATTGAGTTATCAGAACACTGGGGATTCCTATCTAAAGCTGAAGCTAATATGAAACAGGCACTGGAGCTTTAAAATATCCTAAGATCCTAAATCCTTGGGACAATATATTCGTGGCGGCTTATGTAAATCTCTCACCACTAACTCCTCCAAAAACTCTTTTTCTATACCTTTGCTTTTTGAATGGGAATCCCTCAAAACTCCTCAGCTGATGCAGGCGTGTTTTGCTTGTACTACTGATTCACATCCCACAGAACTCTCTTTGCTTTTTCTGAGTTCATTCCAAACTCAACAGGTAGTTAGTGGCAATGCTGTGGTGTAGGAAGGAGCTGAGCTGCCCTTGACAGCTGCCTTCTGTTGAGAAGGAGAAACTGCCATCTCACTGCCCATGTGCCTGAACTTGGTGTGGAAATTTGCTGCTCCTCAGGTGGATGCAGTTCTTTGCGATGGTCCTTCTCCAGAGAATATTGCCTCTACTGTTGTGGACTGCACCAAAATTGACAGTGGAAACATAGGATTCTTCAGAGTTGGTATAATTCCCAAGTCTCAGGTAAAGTTAATCTTGACTTTATTTATTCTCCCTTTCTTTCTCTGCTTTGCCCATTCCCATGAAATAAGCATCAGACTGGAAATTTCCTGTTCTATAAAGAGATGAAAAAATCTGTGATAGCATGAGGAGTTATCACAGTGCAGTATGAAAGATATCCATGTTGCCTGTGTCCTGATCCCGTAACCATCATTACACTTCTCTGAGCTGGGCAAATTCCTGAGGAATGTGTGACATAAGACTGATTCCTCAGGGAAAGGGCTCTGAGGTCCAATATCTCTGATCTCAGTGGGGCAGACTCTGTATTCACACCTGTTCCAGAGACCTTTGAGCAGATAGAAATGCTTAGTGCAATCCCAAGAACGGGCCCAGACAGGTAGTTTTGAAAAAGAGAAGAGTTTATGTAAACAGCGGGAGAATAAATCAGTACTTTCCCCCTAACCAGTAACACACTTACAGCTGTGTTTATTAAATCTAGGTGCTGCAGATACTGGAACAGGTGCAGAGGAAATACTCAATGGTCCCTAACAGTGACGGCTGCACCACAAAAGGCCGGGAAGAACATCTGAATCACGTCCATGCTGTGCACAACGGGGTGGGCACGGCTGCCTCAGCACAAAGATTTGCAGTGCAGTCTGCTGATGGCGGCCGTGAGAACCACACTCGCCTCTGACTTCTGTTTGGGTCAAGCAGTTACGTGCTCACTAGGGAGGTGTCTGCTGGAAAATGATGTATAGGTCAAACTGGGGAATGGGAGAGATTTCTCAGCTACAGGGGTGATTTATTCACTTTTCTATGGATACTGCTAAAATATCCCTGATCTACAGTCACGTTCACCCAGTTTGTAGAAGCAATATTTTCACTTATAGAGATTGCCAGCTCTCACTGAAAGGAAAGTGTTACATCAGTGAGTGGCTGAGCCCAGGGTAACAGAGCTTTTTTCTTTTCACTAGAAGTTAATGCCTTTGGTTTGGGGCAGAGAATAACTTGAAACATTATACAATTATATGTTAGGGAGCAAACACTGCATGAGGCTGGAAATGGAAGAGAAAGAAGGGAAGGTGTATTCAGGTACTATCTTAGTGAATACAGTGAACTTCTTGAAAAGATGAAACAAAATGTAGTCTTGGGAACTGGGGCTATCCTTGATATATCTGCTCTGAATAGAAGTCACAAAAGCCAACGCTAAAACAAGTGCTGTTGTCTGAGGTGCCATTTTTGGATTTTCACAGTCAGTGTGAGGGTAGAATTGTCATTTTGATGTCTCCAACAATACCGCCTTAGAAGTGCTGGAGCATTATGGAAGACCCTCACTTCTCATTTTATCTTCTGCAGAGTATGAATTTCAAAGGAATCATATGCTCTGCATTTGAAAACACTAGAAGCTGGTCTCTTGCCTTTTGGCATAACTGTACATAATTCATGGTACATTTCCTTCAGGGTGCACATCTTGTACAGAGTGGTATCTGAACTGGAGGAAGCAACAAGAAATTTCAAAGAAACTCAAGGAGTTTTCCTTGGTGAAATCTGCATGGCCATACAGTAGTAGCTTGTTTGGCCTCTGAAAACTGTTGACGTTACTCTTACCTGACTCAGGTGCAAGGTGCTGATCAAACTCCAGCTGAAACCAATGAACGATCTCATTGATTTCATTTGGAGCACTGTTGGAACTTAAGAATAAATGCTGTGCAGTCAGAGTAGCTAAACCTCTGTGAACCACATCTTCTCAGCTTGTTCTTTACAGAACTGGTTCTCTCCCTGCAGAGAAGGAAACTGACAGATAACTGAGTTTGTGAAATCATTTCACTGGTCTACTTACTGTATCTCTTTGGTGTTTCTTAAAACTGATTTACAGAATTCAATAAAATATTTTCAACAAACAGTCATAAGTCATACAGGACTGTGCTATCATCCGCAGCAAGCGCCAGAAAAAAACTTTGCAAGTAACATGATCGTGGCATTTTGGGGTTGCCAGGAGTGCACAAATGATCTTACAAGTGGATCAGATTGCATCCCTTTCCAGGATGTGAGAGAAGGGGGGAAGAAAGCATAATAACTAACATCAACCCCCCAGTGCCAGCTTCCTTGCTGGGTAGTGCTAATGAATTCATAAACAACAAGGCTGAATTTGGCTCCTTTTCTTAACCAAGTTTTACAAAAATAATAAACATTGAAATCTGAGGAAGCGCAGTAAGAAATATGAATCTGGAAAGAAGCATTACAAAGCCTTTTGCTATGTAAAATAGCCTTGGCTTAAATAAAGTATGGGTGCTGCTTCCCCATGCTTCATGTAATAGTATGTTTTAGTGTGCCCCAGCTTAAAAGCAGTTTGGAAAGCTGGATTCTTCACAAGGTGCCTTGCCTTGATCCATCTTTTCCTCTCTCCCTGGTGCATGTTTCTTACAGGAACTTTTGCTGCCAGGAGCAGGATGCTGGGAGATCATGCCAGGAACCATTTCACATGACAGGTGCAAGACAGGGAGCACCTTCATTTAATTCAGTCCTTGCTGTACCCCTCCCACACCTCTCTTATGGATGAGCAAACCAGGATGAAATAAATTGGGATAAAAGCAAATTGGGATGAAGGAGGAGACTTAAATGGGATCTTTTGTTAAGTAGGGGCAAAATAATTTCCGATATTTCCAGAGTTTTCCCAGTATTCAAGGTTAAGCAGAACATTTTTAAAAAGAAATAAAGAGCCACTGTTACTTGACAATAAAGTGTCAAATCCAGAATACTCCCGTTATAAACTTTTGGCCCTTTTCAGCACAATTTGCTGAAAAAAACATAGATCAAATCTGTGCTGAAACATTGACAAGAGTTTGTAAAATACTTTCACCTCTAAGAATATGGGGCTTTGTCAAAAAGTATTGCCCAGCCCTCCTCAGAGGAGACTCGGTGTGCCCTTCTGGTGCTGTTCCTCTCACATCATGCTCAATGGGAAGGAGTTGCTGCATTGCAGTGTGGCAATCAAGAGGAATATAAAGGGATTTGGGACCCTCAAATATCCATCCAAGGAGGAGTTTGAAGTCACTGAAGAAAATCAAGAGATTTTCAAGAAAGGCCAATTTTGGTTTAATTGTCAGTGACTCTGAGGTCTTTATTTTGTCTGGGAGACAAAACAATCTCATGAATGGGCCTGTTTGTGAGAAAAGCAACACTTTAGTCCCACTGGGATTGGAATCAACCCAGGAAGCAGGCCTGTTCCTCCTTGATTTTGCTCTTTGTACAGTCCAGACATCTGTGTCAATGGAAAAAAGAATGGAAAACAAAGAAGGGCATTTTCTAGTCACAGGAAAAGCCAACTCACTTTTCTGAGAATAGAACTGTGCCATAGGAACAGGAACTGACTCAATGGCATCTTCGTAAGGGTGCATGTTGGTATAGTGGGTGGAACAGATACTCCAGTGGGGAGAGTGGTTCAGAGAGGAAGGGTGGCATCACCACTACCTCCTGAGTGAAGCAGCTGAGAAAGGGCTCGAGACATGGACAGAGTCAGAAATGCCCCATGACTGCCTCTGATTTAAGAAAACACCACTGGGAGCTGTAGGGACACAGACCTCATCTGTTTGGCTTCTTCTGCTGAAATATGAAAGCCAGCATCCACCTACAGCTCAGGATGGGACATCAACTGGAAGAAAAGGCAGAAGGAAAGTCCTCCTTATTGTGTGGAAATCAGTCAAAACAAAACCTTTACATCTCCTCGGTACTACAGAGGGCATATGAAAACACAACCTGCAGTGATTTTTTGTCATACTCACCTTGCTGCTTTCTTCCTCTAACTCCTCCCTGTAACATCAAGTGTTTAGGGTTATTACTACAGCATGACTAGATAATCTGGTTTGTCACATTTTGAAGGAATATTAAAAACAACAAAGAAACAGCATATCTCAAAGCTTGGGCCAGATCTTCAACTGTTCTGCAAAACCCACTTATACTTATATTGGATTTCTGTCTGTCACAGCTGTGTTGCCAAGAGCCGAGCAACCTGTAATGTTCTTGAGCCATCTGGGTGTCCCCAGCTTTCGTGCCAGCTGTAACAATAAGGAATTTATGGAGCAGCTCTGTGCTGAGGCTCAGAATAAGGCAGAACAGAGATAGCTGCATGACAGAAGAAATTGACTGTGTAAAAATCTTTTGGGAAAATACCAGCAGTCTGGAAATTGAGGCTCTTGAGTCAGGATGGGGAAGTCTGTCCTGTGTATCCAGTTCAGCGCTGCCCCTGCACCTGGCTGCAGCTCTGAAGCCCTGTTAAAAATTTGCTGAAATCATGACACATGAACCAGCTTCCAACTCTTACAGGTTTCACTGTGACCTTGAGCAGCCACCCTAAGATGGCAGGATGTGCCCACATTTCCGTTCTGTGCACTGTGCCATAGAATCAGTTAGTATCTGCAGCCCCTGACCAGGCTCACCTTATGTCCTCAAAATTCCCATGAGCCTGCTGACTGCCTGTGGCATCCTTCCATCCACAACCTTGCAAAGGGTCAGGTCACCGCTCCAGGTTATCAGATCTTGTGTGGCCTAGGGCTTTCCGCAGCCTCTGTCCTCCTTCCTATCTCCCTGCAGGTCTCCAGGCCCTTCTTGCCTGCGGCTGCCAGCAGCTGTGTTCACTTGCAAAATAAACCAAGTCCAAATTCCTAAAACAGAGCCTTTAGTGGGAAGCAGAAATATTGGTACAGGAGAAGAAATAGAGAAGGAGCAGACAAAGTAGCTTTGCTTAGACCAGATCCAATGAGCAGCAGTGACCATGACCAGTGGCACGCAGGACGCAGGTATGATTCCCCTTATCCATGACAGGAGCTGAGATGGGTTTCCTACAGACTTCCAGAACCAGTATTAGTGTTACATCCTCCATTGCACTTCCAGGCCCTAGCTCTCCGAAGACACAATGAAGAATTGATCAAGCTACTGGCCTGTTGTCCATCTCTCCTCAGAGACAAATGTCTGGTATGAAGCAAGGTAGCTCTCCGGGCCTTGCAGCTGAAGGCTGTCATCATATGTCTGATGGTCCTTTGAGCTTGTCTTGGCTGTGGTGCTACAGGTACTCCTGTATATGGAGGAAGTGAGTCCTACCACATCTATAGGGGAAGGGTGAGAAATAGTCATGTTTGTGTGTGCACAGTAAATGCTAATACATTGATTTTTTCCCCACTCCTCTGCATGAAATTATATTCAAAAGTTTTACTGATAAAATGCCTAGTCACGAAGCAGTGATCTCACCATCTCCAGGAAAATGCCTCATAAAATTGAGAGATAACATGAAATAATCAAAGAGTGAAAAACAAACAAAAAAATACCAGCCCCAAACCCCAGAAGCAAAACAAGAATGAGGAAGAAGGAAAGTAAGGAGAGTAGAGCTGAGCAGAACTGAAAGCAGATAACACAACTCTTTGCACATGAGTCAGCTCCAGGTGTGGAGGAACCAACTCCTGGAACATATTGTCATGGCCATGTCCCTCTTGGGGTGGTGTTCCATCCATCAGACTTCAGTATCTCTCTTGGAACAGAGAAGCGATGCCCTTCACCACCAGTGACATTCCGTGCAATTTGCTTTTGTGATGATGTGAGTCAACATTCTGTTTTGCAACAGTATTTTGCACTATGTTTCTTTTAATAGAACAGAAACTTTCTGCCCCTTTGTCTAAACCTTCTGCTCCTGTCCGTGCCTCTCCATCTCCTTCCTTCCCCTGTCTGAATTCACACACAAATGTGCTGCTCTTCCCTGGCGGAACTGATGTTCTGTCCTTGAGAACCATCTCAGTAAAGCTCAGCTAACTCCTGAGCAAGCACTAAGGTTGAGAAGGGGCAGAATGAAGAGACCATCCACAGGGGAGACTTGGGGACAAATGTGATATGGTTGAAATCCAGTATCCCTGGTTCCCCTTTGGTTGGGATCTAAAGGCCTCATTGCTCAT